GGCTGCTGGAGTCCACGCGGAGCCCCCTCCCGTCCGCCTGGCTCCACATGCCGTGGGGGCCGCTACTCGTACTGGGCGATGAGCACCATCATGGCCACGCTGCAGACCAGCCCCAGCACCTCCAGCAGTGACTGCAGGGGGCCGGCCTCCCGCAGCAGCTCTGGGATCACCGACACGGTGCCCACGTAGATAAACCCGCCCGCTGTGAAGGGCAGGATCCAGGCGGTGGCTGCCTCCCCGACGCCCTCAGCTAGCAGCGAGCAGGCCGGGCCCGGCAGGGCGCCCAGCGCCGTCAGCAGCTGGCTGCAGCTTCATCCCCTGCAGGGAGGGGCACAGGCTGGGGGAGCAGGCCCTGCCTCAGCATGGGGAGGGGGTAGAGTGGGTGAAGGGATGGCAAGGAGTGGCATGGGGATACCAGAGACCCCTGGGCGGGCAGTGGAGGACAATGGCTTTGAATGGGAGTGGGGGTTGGGACATCATCATTATGGTATAGCGGGGGCGAGGGAAGGCTTCATCCCCTGCAGGGAGGGGCACAGGCTGGGGGAGCAGGCCCTGCCTCAGCATGGGGAGGGGGTAGAGTGGGTGAAGGGATGGCAAGGAGTGGCATGGGGATACCAGAGACCCCTGGGCGGGCAGTGGAGGACAATGGCTTTGAATGGGAGTGGGGGTTGGGACATCATCATTATGGTATAGCGGGGGCGAGGGAAGGCAGGGTCTGGGCTGAGCAGAAGGGAATATCTGGGGGAAATGTGAGGTGCTGGGTCAATACTCAGTTGGGCGGGCAGTGGAGGACAATGGCTTTGAATGGGAGTGGGGGTTGGGACATCATCATTATGGTATAGCGGGGGCGAGGGAAGGCAGGGTCTGGGCTGAGCAGAAGGGAATATCTGGGGGAAATGTGAGGTGCTGGGTCAATACTCAGTGAGGGGGTGGGGGAATATGGGGCAGCAGAGTCTGGGCTCAGAGGGGGGCATGCGGGGCAGGATCAGGACTCTGAAGTGGATGTGGGTGGGCAAGGCGATGCG